GTGTGATGCGGTTTTCGAGCGAAGTACATTCCGGGCAAGAAGGGTGCTACGGAGGATAGCGGCGACCTTTCAGCTACATGTAAGAATTTACAAGCGTGCCAAAGCAGCATCCAAGAGGTTCGGCGCCATCCATCCTGGGTTGGATGACAATGAGCACCGAGCCCTAAGCAACATCTTCGACAGCACGGCGAAACCGGCCACGTGGACCAAAGGCTTCATGTCCATCTGGTCGAACCCGGGGGCGGCTTTCCGTCCCCCCTAGTTGCTCAGGATGGGTACAGAGGGTGCATGCCCCCTAGGCCCATCAGCTACAGTTACGACTGCCGATGTATTCCACACTTTATAGTGTATCTTGCATCACAAAAAAAAAAAAAAAAAAAAAAAAAAAAAAAACCTTGCTATTCCGCAGCTAGCTTGGTCGACCGCCAGCACAGCATGGTCGACCACCTGCCAGTGTTGCGTACAGGAGCCGCGCCAGCATTGCAGAAAGGCGACGTGCCAACACAGCAGGTCGACGGCGTGCCAACGCTGAAGCAGAGCGGCTGTCCAGCGTTGCGCCCGTAGATGGCAGCAGTGCGCACGCTCGCAGGTGCGCGCAGACGATTGGCCCGACTTGGATCGTTGTGCATCCGTCGGCTGTTGTCTGCGTCTGACGAGCCACATCGACTTCGGGATACCAGCCCGAAGTCGCCTTTGTCACCGCGACCTCGACGACGTTCGCGTGCCTCCGCAGAACTCGCCAAGCAGGTTACTTGGTCGACCTGGTCGACCACCAAGTGCTCCAGTCGACCACCAAGTGCTCTGGTCGACCGCAACTCCCGTCGAGGAACACCCTGGTTGACGGACCCCTCTGTCGACCAGCACTATCAGCTGCTGTCGCCGAGCTCCCCTCGTTGACAGCCACTCACATGTCCTCCGCAGGTCGACGGCGTCGACCTCCCCGTCGAACTGCTCCTCCTCGTTGACAGCCCGCCCATCAACCAGCCCAGTCAGGTGCGCCCGTCGAGCTCCTTGGTCGACGACTCCAGCCCCGTGACACACCTGTGCGGGTGGACGACCACTTCGTCGTCCTGCAACGCTGAAGGAGGCCGTCGAGCTCCCTGGTCGACGACAGCACCACATTGATTCCCTGCAGCTCCACGAAGCTTGTCGAGCAGCTCCCTCACTGCGAACGGTCGGTTGCTTCTCCCATACATCCGACCAAGTCGTCGGCGTTGCCCAAGCGAGGGCGGGGCCAACACTCCATTCTCGTCAACATCGTCGTCGCCCACTGCAGATGGTTGGCTGCGCCTCCCGTGCACCCGACTTCGAAGTCGGCTTCGCCCAAGCCGTAGTATGATGTGCTATCTGAGATGGCTGGACGAGGACTGATTGCCGTATGTTATGTACCAACTCTTTCAGGTAGCGTTTTATACAGTTTGGAAACATCAGCCTGTCAAATGTAACGTTTTTTTAAGCGTTTTCCACCTTTTTAAAACTCATGTCTTACCGACAGGATAAGAGAATGCAGTTGCCAAAAATAATGTGACAATAAACATGCTTCTATTGATTGTCTGCGTTCACGATGAGTTTTAACGTATAAGAAAACGCGTGCATAATTGATTATTTAATTGATTATTTTGTCTTGATGTTACAAAAAAAAAAAAAAAAAAAAAAACGAAACGGAGTATCTAGCGACGCTAGATAGGTTTGGTCGAGTGAGATAAACTGCTCGACACTTTAGCTCTTTATGTCGAAATCTTTCGCTTTGCCGGACAGGGAAACGACGCTGCTCGACGAATTTGGCGTCGAATTAAATCGTGACGTACCAGGAATAGAGAAACGGCCTGTGTTGTCGAGAATTAACTTCTTCGAACGATGTTCATGGTAAAAAACATATTTCGCGAGGGAGAAATCAGAATAATTTTCGAATGACATTTTCTGATCGAAAAAAAATATTGCAGTACTCTCTCGACAAAATGCGAAAATGTCAGGGCAATTTTTTCATACCGCTCCGTCGAACTGTCACAACACCGCAACACTTTAAGAAAATTGTGGTAGTTGTTTTACCTTTTGAAAGTACAAGCACGAACACACGGAAAGCACGGGAACGTTTAGCTAGATCCCACGTGTTGTCGAGCATGTTGAAACGTAACACATCTCGTCCAACTTCAAATTTGTCTTTACGTCGAAGAACATATTTGCAGCAATATTTAAAGTCTTGTCGAAGACGCGACAACTTAAGCTCTGTCGAAGAAGGGAAAATTGCAGAACAAAAGTATATACGCCCTGTCAAAGTGAGAAGTTCTTGTCAGCAGTGAGCTGAACTACCCTTCCCGTCAAGAATTCCCGAATTGCAACAGTACGGCTGACATATATCTGCGCATAAGAATACGACATTGAGACGGAGGGATTCGGAGGGTTTTTTGGAGGGATTTTTCGCCTGGTCAGGTGGGAGTTTCGGGGTGACCCGAGGGATTCGGAGGGTTTTTCAGTTTGCCCCAATTTCCGAATGTGCCAGGGGGCGTGGGGCGGCATTGGTGACGTCACGCGTCCCTATATTACTGGATGTATCGCGACCAGGCCCTACGATATCATGAAATTTTCCCTGAAATTCCTGATTTTCGGCCTACTATTGTGTACCTACACTGATTTTTCTATGTGTAGATTTTTTTTATACTCATTTTTCAGCCTTCATTTCATAGTTAACACTGATTTTTCAGCCTTTTATCGAAGTGTACAATGAATGCACATTCCTAATTATTTCTGGAAAACGCCCGAGATGAACAGAACTCCAAGAATTATAGTTCGTACAAACTTGTTGCCAATAACTAGGAGTGTCTCGGTTGTTAGTGAAATCGTTGTCGAAGGGTAAGGGCGTGTAACTTTGCTTCGACCAAACGAAATGGTCGACCATATAGGCGGTTCTGACGATTGCGAAGTTGTAGGGTTACGCCCACTAATTGTAATTACTTAGTACTCACCCTTACTTAACAGAAAACGGATGGTACTATTTTGTATAAACTGTTGGAAACAAATAACTTAAACGCTTCTGAAGTATCGAAGTATCGACACGAAACGAAGCAGACTACAGTGAAGCAACACGAGTCAACAAAAGCAACCGCTGGAGGTTACGCGAAGGTCAAAGGTCACTGACCTTTGACTCGACGAATACAGTGCGACAGCAAGGACACATAACTGACTCGATACTGAGCAGTTACCCAAGTCGGCACTTGTCACAATGTATTTGTTGTCTAGCCTGCAGTCGGGTACTCTGTAGTGAGTACAACCCAATTTAGGGTTTGCTATTTGTATCCCAACTCTTGCTAGTGAAATCATTCCATTCAATTTTCCTCGATATTCTCCTTCTCGATTTTCCTCACCCAAAATCCTCTCGACACTCTAACCTAGCCATGGCTCCTAAGCCCAAGTCATGCTAGGATTCTAACATGCTATCAGAGAAGGTCGTTCCTAGGACCTCACATTAATGGGCCCACCACCTAATGCCCTGCTAGCCTAGGCCCCGGCCCGTCGCCCCTTGGCGTCGCCCCTAGCCCCTAGGCTCGGCCCCTTGGCCCCGTCGCCCCTGGCTGTGCCCCTCGGCCCCGCTAGCCCCGTCGACTCCGTCGCCCCGCGCCCGGCCCGTACTTAGCCCGCGATCGGCCCATACCTAGCCCGCGCTCGGCCCCGTTCCTAGCCCCGCGCCCGGCCCGTACCTCGCCCGCGCCTGGCCCCGTACCTAGCCCGCGATCGGCCCGTACCTAGCCTCGCGCCCGGTCTCCGTTCCGCGCCCAACGCCCGGCCCCGTAACAAGCCCGCGCCTGGCCCCGTCCTTCGCCCAGCGCCCGGCCCGTACCTAGCCCGCGCCCGGCCCGTACTTAGCCCGCGACCGGCCTGTACCTAGCCCGTCGCCCCGCCTCGTCCCTAGCCCAGCGCCCGGCCCAGTACCTAGCCCGCGCCCGGCCCGATACCTAGCCCGCGCCCGGCCCCGTACTTAGCCCGCGCCCGGCCCCGTATCGCGCCCAACGCCCGGCCCTGTACCTGCCCAGCGCCCGGCCCCGTCCCTTGCCCAGCGCCCGGCCCCGTACCTAGCCTCGCGCCCGGCCTCCGTTCCGCGCCCAACGACCGGCCCCGTACCTGCCCAGCACCCGGCCCTGTACCTGCCCAGCACCCGGCCCCGTCCCTAGCCCAGCGCCCAGCCCCGTACCTAGCCGCGCCCCTCGGCCCCACTGGCCTCGTCGCCCCTAGCTATGGCAAGAGGGGTGATGACTTCCTGCCCGCGTGCCCTGCAGTCGCACGCGCAGCTCCGCCCCCGCCCCCCTCCCCCCCCTCCCCCTCCTCCATGGGGACGGGGGGGAGAGGGTGTGAGAGGGTGGCGGATGTGCCTCAGCAGCAGCAGCTGCCGCCGCGCCTCCTCCTCTATCTCTCCCTGCCGCACCTTGCGTTGGGAGAGGGGGGGGAGCTTGGAGGTTCAGAGGGAGGCAGGAGGGGATCTGCAGCACCAGCCCCCCCCCGCCCCCCCTTTCTCCTCCACCCCTGCTGCGGGTGCAGCAGTGGGGGGGAGGGGATCTGCAGCAGCAGTGGGGGGAGGGGATTTGCAGCATCAGCCCCCCCCCCCCCCCCCCCCATCCCGCACCCCCCCCCCCCCTTTCTCCTCTCTCTCTCCCTGCCGCACCCTGTGTTGGGGGGGGGGGGAGCTTGGAGGTTCAGGGGGAGGCAGGAGGGGATCTGCAGCACCAGCCCCCCCCCCCCTTTCTCCTCTCTCTCTCCCTGCCGCACCTTGTGTTGGGAAGGGGGGGAAGCTTGGAGGTTCAGGGGGGAGGCAGGAGGGGATCTGCAGCACCAGCCCCCCCCCCCCCCCAGCCCTCCATCCCCCTGCTGCGGGTGCAGCGGTGGGGGGGAGGGGATCTGCAGCTCTGTGCTGCCCTGCTGCCCTGCTGCCCTGCAGCCCTGTGCGCCCTGCTGCCCTGCTGCTGCCGCTACAGCCCTTGCTGCTGCCGCTACAGCCCTTGCTGTTGCCGCTACAGCCCTTGCTGCTGCCCTGCGCGCCCCGCGCGCCCTGCAGCCCTGCTGCGCCCCGCGCGCCCTGCTGCCCTGCTGCCCTGTGCGCCCCGCGCGCCCTGCAGCCCTGCGCGCCCTGCGCGCCCTGCTGTCCTGCTGCCCTGCGCGCCCTGCGCGCACTGCAGCCCTGCGCGCCCTGCGCGCACTGCAGCCCTGCGCGCCACGCGCGCCCTGCTGCCCTGCAGCCCTGTGCGCCCTGCTGCCCTGTTTGCCCCGCGCGCCCTGCAGCCTTGTGCGCCCCGCGCGCCCTGCTGCCCTGCTGCCCTGTGCGCCCTGCTGCCCTGTGCACCCCGCGCGCCCTGCAGCCCTACGCGCCCCGCGCGCCCTGCTGTCCTGCTGCCCTGCGCGCCATGCGCGCCCTGCAGCCCTGTGCGCCCCGCGCGCCCTGCAGCCCTGCTGCGCCCCGTGCGACCTGCTGCCCTGCTGCCCTGTGCGCCCTGCTGCCCTGCTGCCCTGTGCGCCCCGCGCGCCCTGCAGCCCTGTTCGCCCCGCGCGCCCTGCTGCCCTGCTGCCCTGTGCGCCCTGCTGGCCTGTGTGCCCCATGCGCCCTGCTGCCCTCTGCACGCGCCATGCACAGCCCCCCCCCCCCCGCCCCCCCCCCCCCCCCCCCCCCTTCTCCTACCTCCCCCTGCTGCGGGTGCAGCAGTGGGGGGGGAGGGGATCTGCAGCACCAGCCCCCCCCCCCCTGCCCCCCCCTGCCCCCCTCCCCCTTCTCCTCCATCCCCTGCTGCAGGTGCAGCAGTGGGGGGAGGGTATGGGGGTGGCGGGTGTGTGAACCGTCCCCTGCTCCTCCTCCTCCTCCGTCTCCCACTGCTGCAGCTGCCGCTGAGGGGGGTGGGTGTGTGGGAGCCGAGGGAGTGGTGCTAGGGGGGTGACGTGAGAGTGGAGCTAGGTGTGCAGCAAGGGGTGTGTGAAAGGGGGGTGGGACAGTTGGGGGAGGTTGAGCGGAGGCTGTCGTCTTGTTGTCCGCAGCACCTGTAATCTGGGGCTCTGCTGGTGGTAGCTCAGAGAGCCTGCTGCACCTGTCGCCCGTGGGTCCGTTGCTCCTGCCGCTCAGAGTTAGCCGCAGAGCCAGTTACTCCTGTAGTCCGGGGCTCTTGCTCTGGTAGCCACCGTGTGCGCCGCTCCTGTTGCCCGTGTGTCTGCAGCATCAGCCGTCGCCTCCTATCTACTCTCCTCTCACAGTCCAGCCTCCTCCTCCTCACTTGCCCTTTGTGAATGCCTCTAGCTTTGCTTGTACTTGTGAACCTGCTCTATGACTGCTTGCTCTGCTGATTATACCCCACTTTGACTATGGGGGTGTGTCAGAATGTATTTGCTGTCTAGCCTGCAGTGGGGTACTCTGTAGTGAGTACAACCCAATTTAGGGTTTGCTATTTGTATCCCAACTCTTGCTAGTGAAATCACTCCATTCAATTTTCCTCGATATTCTCCTTCTCGACTTTCCTCACCCAAAATCCTCTCGACACTCTAACCTAGCCATGGCTCCTAAGCCTAAGTCACGCTAGGATTCTAACAGCATTGTATCGAACCGCAACAGCAAAAACAGTTAAAGTGTAACTTTTCATATTCCTTTGTAATCATATAAAAGCCTTGTATTTCTCTTCTATTATCAACTTATCTTGTTCTCACACACCAGTACAAGGTGGTTTTGCAACTCTGACATTAAACGCTTCCGCAAACTACAACATTCCTACTTCAACCATAGATCTAAGCCTTGAAAGATCCTAAGGGCCTTTCTCAGCCCAACATGGTATGAGAGCGAATAAGGCAAGATCGATTTCAAATTTTTCGACGACAACACAAGACATGGCAACACAGAAGGAGAGGAGCTCCTCCAACGGATCTCTCGGCACTACTCCTACTCCACCTCCAGCCTCCGGCCTACAAACAGAGAAAGGCACAGCAATAAGACCAGCTGCGGAGTCGACCGAAACTCCCGGGAATCAAGCAGCAGGCTTTGACCCAAACATGATGGAGAAGTTCTTCTCCTTCATGTCCTTCTACGAGCAACACCAGCAAGCAGCTCCTGCGCAATCAAACAACAGCGACAGCAACAACAGAGCAACACCGATGAGCCTTGACGGTTCATCCTATGCACGCGGAAATCAGCAGCAACCTACCTTTGCTCCGTACGAGCCTCAACGTGGCTCCATCAGTTTCGCGCCACAACCACAGACTTCACCTGGACAAGAGAAGACATTGGACGCACTTCAAGTTCAATCACAATTCGCACATGTGTTAAAACTGCAAACATCAACGCCTTTCGACGGAAAAGACTTCTATACCTGGTCATTCGAGTTCGAGTTGATGATGGAGGGTGCGCAAATTCTCTGATTCTTCGACGGGTCCCTGCCATATCCAGCGCATGGGACACAGTACGACAAGCAGCAGTACACATATCAGTCGCTGATGGCATATACGATACTACTGCGAAACTTATCTCCAAACGAGCAGCAGAACATCCGGTCTTATCGAGGATACGGCAACTTCGCCGAGCTGGCGTACGACCACCTGAAGAGCCTATATCAAGCAGCAGACAGTGTTAATCAAAGCCGACTCATGGCACAGCTGACAACAGTGGAAATGAAACCCGGCGAAAAGGGAATGGCGTATATCAGACATTGTCGTGGACTGCGCGACAGACTTCTTCGATGCGGAGGAGCAATATCCGAAGAAGTCTTCGTAACAGTCATCATCGCCGGCCTCGGTCCTCATTGGCGCTCCACGCGAGCACTCCTTCGAGCTCACGGGAAAATCTCTGAAGCAGCACTCTGCGCCGAAATTCACGCTGAACAGCAGGATATGGATCTGCACGAGGAAAGACACAAGAAGAAATCATCAGCACCAGAATTCGCGTTTCACACTCAGCAACGCTACAACAACAACAACAATCGAAAAAACAACCGTCAGACTCAACAATACGTCCCACCGTTTTGTCACCTTTGCAAGATTTCTGGACATCCTCGCACACACTGCCCGAATCAGCAGCAGTAGACGACACCGCAACGTCAACTTCGGCCTTCAAGCAGCCAAGTAGCTTCTACGCAGGCACATCCCACCAATCAAGTGTAGTCTTCAATGTCTTCAACGACAAAACCTGCACAAGGAACAAGAAACATCGTAAGTTGTATGACAAGAACGACAGACTACTGCATCACCGGATCACCACCGTTCTACTCACCAGACGAACAAATCGACGAGCGCACTCCTCGCCGCGAATCACTAGAGCCCAACCCGACGTATACAGCCATCGCCCAGAGCGAGCCGTCCGGGAAAGACACTTGGTTCTTGGACAGTTGCTGCGGACAGCACATGTGCTCCTCGGGTCGCTTCGTTCAACAGGAACACCAACTTCAGCGCGAAGTTGTAATCACCGTCGCCAACAACCAGAACCTGCACACACGACGACAAGGGATCGTGCAACTTCAGTCTCGAGAAACTAACGTCATTTTACAAATGTCTAAAGTTTTGATTGCAGAAGGACTCGACTACAACCTACTAAGCGTCAGTCAACTGATGGCGAAGGGCATCCATCTTGAAGCAGACAGCACCACTCAGGAATTCAAACTATTCCACGGAAAGGGCGGACTCTATATCGGCAAAGCAGTTTTGAAGAACAACGTCTTCGTTCTTGACTTCGTTCCAGACCAAGGTACTGCCGACAGCGACGCCATCGTCAACTTCGCTTCTTGGACACATCCACCCGACCTCGATCCCGACTTCAGTCTTGGAGGATTTTGGTATTCAAATACCATACCTGAAGCAGAAAGAACAAGGGCATTAGCAACAATCCGGCAAGAAGAAACAACATCAACAGCAACAGAGACAACATCGACAGCAGCAAAGACAACATCGGCAGCAGCAACAACACCTACGGCACCAATCTCGAGCTCTTCAACGGCGCCAGTTCTCATTGACGACACTCCACCAACTCCTGCGCAGCAGTTAACTCCCACTCCACGCGAATTTCATAGAAGCGCCAACTTCACCGCGAGATTTTACTCCAACTCCGACCTGTACAGGCGCTCACCCGGACATCGTGCGAGCGAATCACTGTGTCATCCAAGCAACACAACGTTAAATAACACGATCAAGGCAGCATTACTCGACAAAGATTCTTTACTCTTACCCGACGGCAGAGAGCTTCAACGAGTCCGGGGCACATGCTTTACCTGTCCCAAAGCCGACTTACCTCATCAACCGTTCGTCTCTCACCACAACCCAAGCGCGCCGGCCTACACACCACTGGAGAAAGTATACAGCGACATCCTGTATACTCGCGAACAAGGACAAGGAGCATATAACTACGTGATTACTTTCATCGACGCTGCCACTTGTTACGTTTGGCATCTCAATCTCCCAAGTCGTGACATGGCCTTCGAAGCCTTCGTCGCTTGGCTACCTGTGGCAGAACGAGAATCATGAGCAAAGCTAAAAGGCTTCCAGTCAGACGGAGGAGGGGAATATCAGTCACAAAGGTTCAGGCAGTACCTCACAGAACGAGGCATCAAGCGACTCATCTCGCTTCCCTACGCTCATCAACAGTAAGGCATGGCAAAACGGATGAACAGAACTCTCCATAACACCATGCGCAAACTGTTGCGTGGCATGCAACTTCCCAGCCACCACTGGCCTGAGGCGATGGACCACGTTGTCATGCTGCACAACTTGCTCTCGTCGTCATCACTCCCGAACAACGCATCACCGCACCTGCTGTGGACAGGAAAATTGGGCAACACAAAAATGTTACGAGTTTTCGGGTGCATGGTACAGTACCGACCGCAAGATTTTCTCACAAGCACAGTGGGGACTACACTTGGGCATCGAAAAGCATTACAACGCATGGAAGATTTTCGACATCCACTCGAAGGAAAAGGTAGCAGCACGTGATGTCATTTTCTACGAGCGACTTGTTAGAATCAGGAACGAAATGGATGAACTAGGAAGCAGGTGGGTACAAGTAGGAAACCTAGAAGTGTTGTACCCTATATGAACTACCCCACTACAGCCTAGATAGACTATAGCATATAAGTTTGACACACCCCCATAGGAAAAGTGGGGGAGAACAAGAGGTCACAAGACCAGTCAAGAAAAGCAAAGCAAGCTCAGGGTGGATCACAAAGTCACCACGCAGTCTGAGCACAAGCAAATGGCCACAAGGCCAGTTCACATGCAGAGTTATATATAGGGGAACAAACAATACAGTGAACACAACCTAGCAAGTGTAAGCATGCAGGTATATGTGTAGAAATTACAGGACAACCAAAGTCAAGAAGTAAGCAAGTGAGGCACAGTAGGTACAAGGCCTAGAACAGTACAGAAACGCTGATGATCACAAGGCTGAAGTGCCTTGGTGAAAACATCAGCAGTGTTGGCCTGAGAGGCCACGTAAGCAAGACGAAGCTGACCACGCTGCTGCAACTCTCGAGCAAGGAAGTAGCGCAGAGCAATGTGCTTCGTTCTGTGCTCCTGACACAAGGCAAGCATGGCCTTGTTGTCGACGTACAGAACTGGAGGCGAACAAGGCGCCTCTCCCAGGCCGGTCAGCAGGTAGGTGAGCCAGCGTAACTCCTGTGCAGCCATGGCCCCAGCTTAGATCTCAGCCTCACAACTGGAGCTGAGAACAGAAGAAGAGCGGGTAGACCGCCAAGAGACAGAGCCGGAACCAAGACTGAAGGTGTAACCCTGTGACGACCGCTGCGTAGCCAAGTCGTCAACCCAGGAAGCGTCTGCGTGACCAGTGAGGACAACTCGAGCCCGTCCTCCAAGCACGAGCCCCATGCCCGACGTACTGCACAGGTAGCGCAACACCCTCTTCGCAGCATCCCAGTGCACCTTTCGGTGTCGACCGGGAGCCACGTAGCGAGCCAGAAGGCTGAGAGGGTATGCGAGGTCAGGTCGTGTGCAAGTCATCAGGTACATGAGGCAGCCCACAAGCTATGGATATGGGCCGCTCGGCTCTATGGACTCGTCCGAAGGTGGAGCTGAGAGCGAGTGACCAGTAGGCAGAGGAGTGGACTGTGGCAAGGAGTACGTGAAGCCGAAGCGCTGAAGGACCTGCTGCACCATGTGTGACTGAGTCAAGGAAATGGTGCGCTGTGCTCTGTCCCGGGTGATCCGCAAGCCAAGATAGCTTGTCAGTTCGCCCAGGTCTGTGCACGTGTGTCTCTTCTGCAGCTCGGACTTCACGTGGGCGAGTGCCTCAGTGTCAGCAGTAGCAAAGACGAGGTCGTCTACGTACACGAGAACGTAGAACGGTGGTAGAGTGGTGTCAGTGCGTAAAAACAGTGACAGGTCAGCAGTGTAAGGAGCAAAACCAAGAGTAGCAAGGGTCGTCCTCAGTGTGTCGTGCCACTCACGGGGTGCCTGGCGGAGACTGTAGACTGGCCGCCGGAGGCTCCACTGGGTACCAGCAGGAAACGACCCAGTGAAGCCAGGTGGGCGGCGCAGCCAGATCTCCTCGTGCAGGCTGCCCTGTAG